AAACACACGAACACAACCTCAAACTTAGTTGTTTTTAAAATATGTAAGTCAAACTAAGTCTATGTATAAAGTAAAACGTAAAACGATCTAAAAAAAAAAGTGGAATTGAAGCCAGCCCTTGTAAATGTACGAAGTGTTATGTACATACTTATTACAACGAGCTACTCGGAGACCATAGAGATAACTATGAAATAAATGTAGGATCGACATATAGTTGAACAGTTGTAAGTGTAATTTAAGTGGAAAAAGTTCTGAATTTATTTAAAAACTGACGAAGACGAAATCAACCAACATTCGAAACAATCTCTTTGGTAATAATGTCAAACATTTTAAGTTTCTTTTAACTTGTATATTTTAATTTTTTTAACTTTACAAATAAATGTTTGTGCAAGTAGAAACCGTTGATCTTCGTTTTATTATTTTATTTAATACCAAACAACTAACTTTATGGGTTCCGAAAGCCCGAATTGTGTCTTCGCACCTCCAAAGCTTTAGAATTCGGTGTTTATAGTCCTCTTTGATTAATTATAATGAAATTAGAATTGTTGAAATATGGTACATCGTCTTATACCATAGAAAACTGTTGTTTAGAATTTTAAAATGTAAACAAGTATTTCAACAATATGATTGTAAACGTAAAATAATCAATAAAAAGGACCCTAACCTTGAGAGCATATTTCTCACTAAAATATTGTATATGTCAGAAAACCTCCGTCCGAAAAACTTTGATCATAGAACATTAATTAAGATTTAATAATGTATGCTTAAAACTGATGTGATTAACTATAGCGCGGAAACTTGTTACTTAATTAAAAACATATAATCCGAACTTCAAAAATTCTCTCCTGACAATGAACAAAGCATGATTTATCTGAAGAGAAAATATATCATATTCGTTTTGAATTTATTTACTCATTATAAGAATTTTTTATTACAAGTTACAGCTTTTACAGTAAGGAAGAATATATTTGGAATATAAGTAGAAAGTTTCGATCACTGGTGAGATCATTCTCAAGAACACGGAAAAGAAGGTTTTTGTATTTGAATCAACATTCACAAATCTAAAAATGTATTCAAATTAGAGAATCAATAGTTACCTATGCACGTGTATATCAATTACACGTTAGAAAGGTAACTATTGTAAAAATATAAAAGACGTTAAATCCTGACTCAAAGGAACACAGTAGTGATTCGCTTTTTGACCAAGTAAACCTTTAATATTTTTATTAAACAGTTGGAATAATACCGAATAACAAACAAGGCGCAATATTATTCACACGCCTCAATTAATTTAGGCTACTATCATGTTTAAACTACATCATGTTTATGTAAAATCAAGATATAACACTATAAAGGCAACAAAAATAGAGAGGAAATGTGCGCACTGTTTGAATTTATTCTTATTGCAAGAACTTTGTTAAATAAACTAAAATTTCAAATATTATTCGGGGAAAATAATGACAAAATAATATCAATGTATTTTACTAGTAAAAATAATTCTTGCGCTGTTGTCGTTTTAAAAGACAATTAATGATCATCTCGTTTTTCTTGAAATGTATTTATCATTATTCCTTTACGAGGTGTCACTAATACTGCCACAGTTGGAAAATTCTAGACTTAGTTACACTGTACAAAAAGCAACTTGGGACTATGATAAGTTGGACTGTACCCTTGTTGATAGTTAGAGCGATGATTGTTACTCTGATGCAATGGAACATTGATTTTCGGTATTGGATGTGGAAAGACATCAGACAAAGAGGCAGGAAGTGAATTTACCGCATATCCAGCATTTAGAGGTCCAGATAACACGTGTTTATGTAACTGTTCATCTGCAGTTGAGACCAGTGCCCTATTAGGGGTAAAATGCCTTAAATTGGTTCTTTTAGGTTGAGATATTTCGTTGTGCTTCCTATGACCAAAATTTTCCCCAATATAATTGGATTTGTCTGGTATCCTGAAGAGATCGGCGTTAACACCGTAAAGGTAGATAGAGTCAGGGCAGTTGACATTGTACCACCAATCACACACTCGAGTTTCCTGGTTAAATATTGTTCCGTTCGTGCAAAGAAAACTGTCTTGACGGCTGTCTAGTTGGCAGTAATGCCAAACCTGGAAAATAAAAATAATGAATAGTAATTTTCTATTGAAGAAAAACCAATGGCATAAGTTTCTATCACTAGGAGGAAATTATATTAATTATGTTATATATCTTAAATGAAATAGTACAAAACTGTTATTTTTAACAGAAAATAATTGAAACTCATATTTTCAAAGAATAGAATTATTTCCCTTTCATTGGTTTCGCTGTATTATTAAGGGGAAAGCAGCATCCAAAGAAGGTCTTCATCGGCATTCAAACGAAATGAGATTGCTGGAAAACTAAGTACCATATGGTTTCTTGTAAAACTAAGTACCATATGGTTTCTTGTAAAACTAAGTACCATATGGTTTCTTGTAAAACTAAGTACCATATGGTTTCTTGTGCGCCCCTTTCTTTTTTTAATAGAGTGAAAGAGTGAGTTAGGTAAAGCAGGATGTGTTTCAATAATTACTTATTATTTTCAGTAAAAAAAACAAATTAAAACACTTAATTTACAGTCTGATTAGCGGTAGTTAAATGCTGTCTTTGATACAGTGATATAGATTATTGTATATAAGTAGCGATAGTAAAATGCTTTCCTCCATACAGGGATATAGATTACACTATATAAGTAGCGGTAGTTAAATGCTTTCCTCCATACAGTGATATAGACTATTGTATACAAGTAGCGGTAGTTAAATGCTGTCTTTGATACAGTGATATAGATTATTGTATACAAGTAGCGATAGTAAAATGCTTTCCTCCATACAGG